GTATATTATGCCAATATTTTTTTATAAACTCGAACATCTGCGGTAATCGTGGTTTAGCACTGGACTGAATAAGAAGTTGTTTTGCAAGCAGAATGCAATATATTGAACTAAATGGCCGTCGTTCGTTAAAAATTTTGTTATTGTGTCTTAACAATACTTCTAGTTTATTAAATTTTATATTTTGTTTGCCGACGATACCAATAATTATATTCATGTTACATACCAAATTTTCCTAAACAATATCAATACCAGTCTTGTAACAATACTAGAAATTCCTAGGCCGACCTGCACCTATTACAAACAAGGTTTGTGATTGGCAGGAAAACAAAAAAAAATGAAAAAGGGATGGTGACATAAAAATGCAACTATCCCTAAAAACAACAGGTAGTGCAGGTTATAGGGACCCTGAATGAAATAAGAGGTTTAAATGGGTGCAGGTCAATCGTACCGTCTACCCTATTGTCGAACAAACACTAAGAAATTTCCTTTTTTCAAGATCCAAAGTTTTTTAGTTCACTTGACAACGAAATTATCAAAAAGCCCGTAATTCGAGGAGGCTTTTTATAGTTTCTCTTAGGTCTCCTCGCCACGTCTCTTTTGCTACTTATCTTACATTTTTGTAGTTGTATTTTTACTATTGTGAGTCAAATAAATAAATAAATAAATAAATAAAAAGAGCTAGAGGAGAAAGCTGCTGCAATGGTTTGAAAACACTTAACGAACGTCTTTCGGACCTTACCGTTTCATCAAATGGTGGAATGGTTATCAGCTGCTTGAATAGGTCTATTAACCACTCAGTGCTCACAATGACTGTGCTGCAATGCTTGATAATTATCCCCAGGTCATGGTAGAAATCCACCATGGTAGTGAACTCTTCCTCGTCATTTATAAAGCACTTGTCCCTTACATAGGTTTGAAGTTTCCTCAAGTGCAAATGGTAAACTTTCTTGGACAGCAAAGCATTGAGGACCTTCTCAAAGGTCAGCCACCTAGATTATAAAAAGATGAATGACAGTATTCGTGTCATCGGGCAGTTTTTGTGGCTTGAAGTGATTCATGTGCAGAAGTTTGCACGCAATCTAAAACAGGTAGATATAACATAACCACAGAAGTTAACTACAGTCGAACCTCCACTAACGGCCACCTCTCTACAACGGCCATTTTTGTTTGGCGAACAGTTCATACATTGACTCTTGTTTAAACCTCTCTACAATGGCCACTATCATCTGTCCCCAAGGTGGCCGTTGTGTAGAGGTTCAAATATAAATTCTACAAGTCCTGACGTTTTAAGTGGTAACTATTTAAGTATTAGGGCTCACGTAATTTATTGTGGCCACCTAAAGTAAAATTCCGGAAGTAACGGACCCCGAATGTAACGTCACAAAATTTGGCCACTTATAAGTCCCGAAGGTACTGCTAAAAAAAAAAGTAATTAATGCTAAGGAATCCCAAAAATAGCAAGCCCACTTTACCCCAGCCTCCCCGCGAAAAAAACAGAGAACTGTTTGTTCATGTGTCAAGGAAGATCATTACTAACAGTCAAATGCAAATGCATTTCCCAACCTCTCAACGATTATTCACCGCAGACAATCGTGATTAATATGAAAAAAGAGACAAACGGTGGCAAAGGAGATGCTATAAAATAAAATGATAAGATCGAGCACTAACCATTGCTTTTAAATAAAATACAGATTACATGCCGTACAAATGGTCAAAGCAGAAGTGAGCCTGAAAGTGTATGGCCTCAAGGAGGACAAAAAGTGATTCCTTTTTTCTATTACATCTTGAAAAAAGGTTAAGAGTTTAAAAATCACCGACAACACGGTTTACACAAGAAGAAGCCACCCACATAACAGCGAGGAGAAACTTGACGATTTCTATTTTTTAGCGACTTTTCGCCCTTTCGTTTGGAAATAAAATGTTGTCTCTACCAGTTTTTTATATCACGCTTTTGGCTCCGTTATAGTAACGACCCCCGAAAGATCATATTTAAATGGTATATTGGGGCTTACAAATAATAAATTATTATTATGATTATTATAAATGATGAGCGCCCACGGCTGCTTATTACCCAAATTATTATTCAGAATGACAATTCTATTAAATAGATCCTATTAAATGTTCTGGAAAGCCGCCTCCCATCAGACCCTTCCTTTGTCGATTTCCTTCAAGGTAAAGCAAGGTTGTCATATAGGGTGACTCTGTGGTTCATATTTATCCTTGGTTTAAATTTCATTTGCTTTTGTTCTTAGGTAAACTAATGCATTGGAATAAGTTACATGTTAAAAGAGAGGGCCTGCATCACATATTAGGAAGCTTAAAGAAAGACGTTTTTGAGTGACGTATGTAATATTTCTGCGTTCGCTTGTTTCAGTATTCACGTGTTTATTTTTTCCTATTACTGACAAAGTCTTTAGACTGCCCTTCCACCTAAGTGACTGACTTACGATGCGCCGGCAGCCTTTGGGTATCTTATACGATGATTTTGCATCACCACGTAGCCAACTATTTACTGGTAAAACATAAACCTCTTTGGATATGCAAGCAAAATGCTATATGGACTGGAAGAAAGCCCACAGTGTATATGTACATAGGTCCACTGTAGTTTTAATGCTGCCAAACCTCAACCCTTAATTAACAGAGAAATTCTCGTCAAAAGACATCTGTGTTCTATTATTCACTTTATTTACCTCACAGGTATCCTTTCCTTCATGTATGGCTCCTGTCTTAACACTTTCATGATTTTGTCTCTTAGCTCTTGGATGTCATCAATGTTTTTATCTTTTCTGAAAACCTTTTCCAACCTTCTCTGAATTAATTTTGCACTGTTGTCAATGGAGAAGAAAGGCCGCACCACATGTCCTTCATAGTCCTTACCAGCAATTGCCTTCTGTATTTTTGACTTCATCGTTGCAATGTCTTCAAACGGTTTGTCAGCATGGGTGCCTACAATGATAACCGGGGGGCGCAAATGAGGCAGCTTTCCTTCTGCATCGTGATGAGTTTGTCCTCTCATCTGTGTGATGCTATGCACTGTGGACAGCCAAGATAGCAGATTCTCCAAATTTGTTTCCCCATTTGGGTTGTCCAATGTGAAATTATGATTTCCTTGTCTCACACAGGGTTGGGCAGTGTCATGCAATGATTTGCTGAGGTTGCACACCAAGATATATATTGCACGTGATGTTAAAAATACAGGATGAGATGCATAGTACAGCTGTTGTCCAGCAAAATCCCACAGATCAATACTACTAACGGATTTTTCGGGGACTCGTTTTTTACCTTTTATATACTTTATCCACTTTACAGCGCCCTTTGTGATCTCGTCAGGAGGTGATGTAGTATCAATCATTAACTCATGTTCAGGCTCTGATGACGTCACTTCACTGACACCGTCCTTTTTTGGATCAGGGACCTATAACAGGACATAATAAGACTGTAAATTATTCATCCGATACAGTAAACACCCGCACATAAGAACACATGATTTCGAGGTTCAGGCTGATCCAGTTAAAATTTATCACGTGCTTAGTGACAAATCAGCCTGAAGATGTTCTTAATAAGTTCTTAAACTTTGTTTTAAAAAAAACACTACACCTAACATGTTACCAGAGGTTTAGTTAGCATTTTTTAATGTTTATTACCAATAAATAAGTAAGTACGTAAACAATTCAGTAAATCCATAAATAAAATAAAAATCTGTTAGGTAGTAAACTAATTAACATTTAAGAGTAGAAATGTAACAGTTTGAACATTTTTTAAATATTTCTTACAGTGATGCTATTTACTCAACCAGGGCCACCATTGACTCTTCAGCCAAGCAATCTGTTGTAGTTTTGTAATTGTCTAGCACCAACCATACAGTTACATTGCTCAGGTACTTATTCTGACATCCTCTCCTTATTATATAAGCACATGTTTTATTTATCATGTTTTATTAAGTACGTAGACGATCCAACAATATTGGAGGTAATTCCTCGCAACTCTCCGTCTGTAATGAAATACCTTGTAAATGACGTTAACAGCTTCGCTCATTGTAACAACATGCAGTTGAACCCTAGTAAGTGCAAGCTGATGCGGGTTGATTTTTTGCATTATAATAGTTGCTACAGTCAACCAATAGCGGTAGGAGGTTCTGTTATTGAATCGGTGGAATCGTTTAAGCTCCTCGGGGTGTACATTTCCTCGGACCTCAGCGGGTCGACTCATTGCGACTATATAATAAAGAAATCAAACCGCCGCCTTTATGCTCTAAGAAAACTGAAAGCTTGTGGGGTGCAAGATGGGGAGTTGGTGGCTGTGTATTGCTCCCTACTAAGATCTGTTCTAGAGTATGCATCGGTAGTTTTTGCAGATTTACCGCAGTATCTCTGCATGGCTTTAGAAAGAGTGCAAAAGAGAGCCCTACGAATCATCTTTGGTCCTGACTTGAGCTACGA